TCTTCATCAGTATATGAATTGAACAGATTTGTCTCCTGCCAAGGAGACTAGCCACAGAGATAACACCTCAAAGATCTGCACCTTCCAGTATTCATGTCCCTTGTTTCGTCTCCTCCCTTCGTGAGTCCAGGCCAGCCCTGAGTGACCAACAGAATCCAGTGAAGTGATGTTGCGTAGCTTCTGAGGCTACACCATAAGAAGCCTTGCAGCTTCCGCATTGGTCTCATCGAACACTCACTCTTGGAGCCCTGAGCACGATGTATGGAGTTCAACTACCCTAAGGCCACCTTATAAGAGAGACTGCGTGGAGAGGCTCTGAGATTTCGTGTAGAATGATTCCTGGCCAGCACCCCAGCCATTTGAGTCATCCCAGCTGAGGCCTCAGATGTCCTGTGGAACAGAATTGAGTTGTCCCCACCAAGCCCTGCCTAAAAGGCAGTTTCACGAGTAAAAGAAAAATTAAGTAATTGTTGCTTTAAGTGATTAAGTTTCAGGTGGTTTGTTATGCAGCAATAGATGACTGAAACATTCCTCCTTCGCTTGATGTGAAGTATCTCCTTAGGTGAGTGCAGAGTGAGCAAGGATGTGTCAGGTTAACTCAAACATAGGAAATTTTCCAGTCATCATTGCTGGGGTAGTCGACTTATTCGTACTGTAGAGATACACTGCTTTAGGACTGTCCTCTTATTTATTTATTTATTTATCTGAGAGAAAGTTCTCATTCTGTCGCCCAGGCTGGAGTGCAGTGGCACGATCTAAGCTCACAGCAGCCTCTGCCTCCCGGATTTAAGCAATTCTCCCACCTCAGCCTCCAGAGTGGCTGGATTACAGGGGTGCGTCACCACACCCAGCTAATTTTTGCATTTTTAGTATGTTTAGTCGTTTCACCATGTTGGCCAGGCTGGTCTCAATCTCCTGACCTCAAGTGATCCACCCACTTCAGTCTCCCAAAGTGCTGGGATTACAGGCATGAGCCACTGCGCCTGGCCAGGACTGTCTTCTGAGAAGTAACACTTCTGTGGTTAAGACTCAGGGGACCCAGAGCCATCTCTGGAGCTTGTGGCCAGGTGTAAACCACAACTCAACATTTAAATATAGATAAATATATACATTAAGCTGAACATGAAGGGCAGCCTTCTATAGAAAAGAAGTCGCAAGAGTATAAACAGCAGGAGGAGTACAGGCAGAAGAAGCAACCAACTTCTACCTGAACTCTGTAGGGTTAGAGTTCCCTTTTCAGGACCTGCTTCCCACCCATATCTGTAACACGCATGTTTGGAATTCATGCCTGCAGCTGCAGCAATGTGACCGGGGTGCACACCAATCCAGAGCCAATATAGTGACTAGTGACTGAAACACTCCTCCTTCACTTGATGTGAAGTATTTCCTTAGGTGAGTGATATGATTATCTCCCTTGAGAGTTTGAGACTAGCATGCCCTTGGACAGAAAGGCCATGAGGAATCAGGGTGGGATAGCTGTTGTCAGCCATGTAAATGCTGATGAGTAAGTAGAGAGCTGGTTTGCAAAAATAAGTAGTGATGAGAATTCATGGGGGCAGGTGAAAAAGAGAGGAGGAAGAAAAAAAGAAAGAATAACAGAGAAAGAAAAAGGATGAGACAGCACTAGTACTAGCTCTGTTCATTAGCTTTCTAGTCCCCAGTTCTTAACATTTAACTTAATTTTCTTGGCTGGGCACGGTGGCTCATGCCTGTAATCCCAGCACTTTGGGAGGCCAAGGCGGGCGGATCATGAGGTCAAGAGATTGAGACCATCCTGGCCAACATAGTGAAACTCCGTCTCTACTAAAATACAAAAATTAGCTGGGCGTGGTGGCGCGTAGTCCCAGCTACTCGGGAGGCTGAGGCAGGAGAATTGCTTGAACTGAGGAGGCAGCGGTTGCAGTGAGCCGAGATTGCACCACTGCACTCCAGCCTGGCACCTGGCGACAGAGTGAGACTCTGTCTCAAAAAAAAAAAAAAAAAAAAAAAAAAAAAAAAGTGAGGATAAAGTTAAAAAGAGTGATGGTGATATGGGAATGAATAGAAAAGGGACTTTATCTTCACTTTTAAGGGTCCCTGAAAAGATCACTGTTGGATATAGGTTCTATTGTGGGTTTGAGCTTTTCTCATTAATGAATACTTCAAAATAGTGAGAGTTTCAGAGACTGTTTCTCTAAAATTCATTTGTTATATTGTTTGTTGATGAAAAGGAATAGCATCACTGTGGGACAGAGTTCCCAGAGGCATCAGAAAGCAAAGGCAGATACTTCTTTATTTCAAATGAATGAGAGAGGAACAAACTTAAGGCAGGAGGAGGCACTGGGAAACACAGGCTCTGGGTTTTTCCAGTCCCTGCTCAGCCACTCTCATCGCGACCACAGATTCATCCCTTCACCTCTCCAGATCTCTGCTTCCTCTGTTACACTATGTGGTGGTCACAGTTATATAGTTATATCTGGTCATGGATGTCTTATAATCATAGATTATTTTATAAATTTTATCTATGATTATAAAATATCTAATGAGGATCTTATCCAAAACCATCTTCACATAAAACCTTCATCTCACTCTGAAGAAGAAAATGTGTGTGCTGGGTAAAGACGCTATTGCCTAAGATCTGGAACTTAAATTTGCAGTAATTTCTAATACTTAAGCACATGTACTTTTCTTCCCAATTGTGAAATAAAGGACAGGAAATAAAAAGGGGAACAGTCTTCATGTTCAAATTAAGTCGGCTGGGCGCAGTGGCTCACCCGTGTAATCCCAGTACTTTGGGAGGCTGACGTGGGCAGATCACCTGAGGTCAGGAGTTCAAGCCCAGCCTGGCCAATATAGTGAAACCCCGTCTCTATTAAAAATACAAAAATAAGCCGGGCATGGTGGCGTGTGCCTGTAGCCCCAGCTACAGGAGGCTGAGGCAGGAGAATCGCTTGAACTTGAGAGGCAGAGGTTGCAGTGAGTGGAGATCGTGCCACTGCACTCTAGCCTGGGCGACAGATCGAGACTCCATCTCAAAAAAAAAAAAAAGAAGTCGGAGGCTCATTTAGGATACAAACTAGATGTGAATAAGTGTGGGAAATTTAAAACATAACCAAATTTAAACCTCAAGTGATCAGTATTTGATGTCGTACTGAGATGTCAAAATACTGTTTCTCAGAGAAACTGACTTACCTTTCTTTTCTGTTACGTAGGCAATGCATGTGTATTGCAGTAAAATTCAAGCCACATATAACAAATGTAAATATTTGGTGTGTGTATTTTTAAATATATTCTCACAAACCCTGTGCCATTTGCTTAGAACAGATCTGATTGTTCATATGCAATGCTTATGTCCTCAATGAGGCTATAAACTCCATGAGGAGAACTCCTTTACCATAAAGCCACATGCCTCCCACCCCCACAGTTCTGTCAGTTTCTTTGGGAAGGAATGGGGGAAACTTTATAAATGCTTCCTTCACTAACACCCATACATTCATTCATTCATTCACTTAATAAACGTTGTAATGAGCACCTAGTATGGACTTGGGCCAGGTGTCGGGGATTCAAAGGTACATCCACTCCTCCCCTTTTTTTGAGACAGAGTCTCCCTCTGTCACCCAGGCTGGAGTGCAGTGGTGCGATCTTGGCTCACTGCAACCTCTGGCTCCTGGGTTCAAGTGATTCTCCTGTCTCAGCCTCCCCGAGTAGCTGGGATTACAGGCATACACCAACATGCCTGGCTAATTTTTGTATTTTCAGTAGACATGGGTTTTTGCCACGTTGGTCAGGCTGGTCTCGATCTCTCGACCTTGTGATCTGCCTGTCTTGGCCTCCCAAAGTGCTGGGATTACAGGCGTGAACCTGTAATGATACATTTCACTGTTGAATTTTCTCAATTACTATGAGAATTACATACTTTACAGTATGTCTTAAAGGGGATGCACCTTTGGGCTGAGCGCAGGTGTTCATGCCTGTAGTCCCAGCAGGCATGAACCTATGAACCAAAGTATGTAATTACTTTCTCAGGAAAGTGACAATTCGGATAGGGAAATGATACACAATTAACTATTTTACTAAGTACTTGTGCAATTTTAGAACCATATGTGAAAGTCTTAAGAAAACACAGAAGGCGGCCAGGTGCTGTGGCTCCTGCCTGTAATCCCAGCACTTTGAGAGGCTGAGGCAGGATGATCCCTTGAGCCCAGAAGTTCAAGATCAGCCTGGGTGACATAGCAAGACCCCATTACTACAAAAGCAATATATATCTATATATATATGGCTGGTGGTGCTTGCTTGTAGTTCCAGCTACTCAGCAGGGAGGCTGAGGCAGGAGGATCGCTTGAGCCCAGGAAGTCAAGGTTTCGAGGTTGCAGTGAGTTGATTGTGGCACTGCAGCCTGAGTGACACAGCGAGGCCCTGTCAAAGAAAGACGAAAGAAAAAAAAGAAAGAAAGAGAGAGAGAAAAAAGAAAAAAAGAGAAAAGAAAGAGAAAAAAAAAAGGGAGAAAGAAAGAAAAGATAAAAAGCACAGAAGAGGATTGGGAGGTTATGGGTTACAGTTATTGAGGGTGTGACCCTGGCCAGGCAATGAGGGGGATGTAGGAAGGGTGATAAGGGGAGAAGAGGATTTAGGAATACAAATTTCAGGGTCTTTTTGTGTTCGCAGGAATTTCTGTTCCCTCACAACTTTCACCATAAGATAAATCTAATGTTCGACTAGAGACCGCTCCCGCGCCTTGAACTTGCAAATTTATGAACCAGGGGCAAAAAAACCCGGATGCGGAGCCTGGCCTCCCACCAGCAAGAGAGCCCACCAAGTCCCAGGAGGGGCGGGGCCAAGGGCGGGTCGGGCCAGAGCTTTGGGCGGGGTTGGCCGTGCTTGCGCCGGAACCGGCCCGCCCCGCCGCTAGGGGCTGACGGAGAAGCCAGGCGTGGATTGGTGTGTGAGTACGTCGGCCTCTCTTCATAGGCCGCGCAGGACTACTCGAGAGACTTTAATTGGCTCAAGAGGCGCTGAGCGTTCATTGGCTGGGCTGGGTCGTCCGGGCGACGAAAAAGGGGAAGGGGTGCGGGGCCAGGCGGGCAAACTGAGGCTACAGACTGTTGGGTGGTTCCGCGGGGCGTTGTCGGGAGAGCTGCGGAGCTAGGTGTCCAGGGTTCACGCCACACTCCAGGAGGTGCCTGAGCGAGTGAGCCGGCCAGCGAGCCCCGCGGGTTGGGACCATGGGCTGCTTCTTCTCCAAGAGACGGAAGGCTGACAGGGAGTCGCGGCCCGAGAACGAGGAGGAGCTGCCAAAGCAGTACAGCTGGGATCAGCGCGAGAAGGTAATGAAAGTCGTGTAGCCGCCGTCTCGGACTCCCTGAGCCGCTGCGCCAAGGTCCCTTATGGCCCGGGACCACTGAGGGGGCCGACCCTACAGCTGCCGCACTCTGTTGAACGCGGGTAGCTGAAGTCCGGGTGCACGACTTTTTGGGACTCGGAGTCGTGAAGTACAGCGCCAGCGAGGGCGCCTGGAGGGTTGTGGAGCTCCGGAAGGAGTCTTAGAGTTTGTTGTCTTGTTAGACAGACCCACCCGGGAGCTTTCTCGGGCTCCCAACCCTGCTGCCTTGCTCTGACTTCCTGTCGGAGATGATCGGTTCTAGAGAGGGAAAGAGCCGAGCATGCCCTGTATCTCAAATCACCTGGTTTCATCCACTGGCAGCACCAGGCGGGGTTTTGTCCAGTCGTCG